GTCCGAATGTGGTAGGAATCCACTCAGAGGCATATGGGAGTGCGTGGGGACTTAATGACCTAGGAATTCTATTAACACCTATAGGCCTTGTACAAAGGATATTAGAAGACTACTAAGCTAGCTAAGGGGGGAGGTGTGACTAAATACTTAGGTGAATAGGGGTAACTGCAGGGGACAGGGTCAAGTCATGGTCGGGGCCGATACGGGGATCCTTCGGATAGGTTTCGAGCGACCCGAGATGGAACGATTCGTGAGAATCGTTACACCTACTATCCTATCTTTACATTTAAGTTATACTACTTGTACACTATTACATTAAATTATTTAGTTACTATAAATAAGATCTTAAAAACTTTTTATTAACTAAAGCCTTTAGGTTTAGAACTTTCTCTCCCCTGTAACAATTTGCATGAATTGTTCCATCTTAGATTGCTTAATAAGCTGATATCTAAAGGGTCCTTGTATCTGCTCCGACCCTGCCCTGCCCTCTGCTGTACCTCTATTCCCCTAAGTATTTAGTCGCAACTCCCCTCTTAGCTAGCTTAGTAGTTTTCTAATATTCTTTTATACAAGGCCTATAGGTTTTAATAACATTCCTAGGTTACTAAGTCCCTACGCACTTCTATATGCCTCTAAGTAGATTCATACCGCATTTAGACCTATTGTCTTACCTGTGCTGTTACATCTCTTATAATTAGAATTGCCTTTAGAAAAGTTGCAAAGAGTGCGCTAAAGTAGAAACATAAAGTCTACTAATAACTTATTAGAATTAGAGACAACTATTAATGCTTAACTCTTAACTACTATTAGATCCTAGTGTAAAGTTTACAACACGCTCTAGCTGTAGCTAAGGCAAGATCCCTGCTACTAGAGCTAAATAACTACCTACATTAACAGCTAAACCTGCTTCTGCAGAACCTAAAGCTAAACTTACCTAATTTAACATTAAGCTACAGCAACTTAGCTCTTAGGTTAAAAACTGTTAGTTTTAATTAACCTCTATAAACTACTAAATTATCTCTAATAATGCTTTAAATTACTCTTGCTACTCTAATAGCAAGAGACTTTTTAAGCACTTTTAATGCTACCTTGATTCTACCTTACTAAACACACCCCTAAGATTAATAACTTTTTAAATAGTAAAGAACTAAAGTTTAGATAATAGCAAGCCTTAATTATTAATAGGCTAACGTTAATATAGATTACTATTAAAGTAGGGGCGCACGCATGGCGTTTAGTTTAGGGGACCTGCTAGCATTATAAAGAAATACTTAGAGTAAGAACATCTAGCTAAACTAGACTAGTTTTAGTTTAAAAAGGCAGAGAACATAACAGTAATACTTTTCTACTATAATTACTACTAATAGAGACTATTAGTCTATAAAAAGAGGGGTAGTATAATAATTTACATGAACTGTTTTATCTTAGCAAACTAACATCTAAAGGTTCCTTGTATCTGCTCTAACTTTACCCTAGCCCCTGTTGTACCCCCATTCCTCTAGGTATTTAGTTGCACCTCTTCTTTGTAGCTAGCTTAGTAGTTTTCTAATATCCTTTGTATAAGGCTTATAGGTGTTAATAGCATTCCTAGGTTTCTAAGTCCCCACGCACTCCCATATGCCTCTAAGTGGATTCATACCGCATTCGGACCCATTGTCTTGCCTGTGCCGTTACAGTAACCTTCTTCCTAAATAGGCTAACTATACCCCTGCAGAGCTTAGATCGTTAAGTGACTAGTGGCTTTTGGTAGGCGACTGTACATACATCCTGCACACTTGTCCTATAAGTGCAGTGAGGTCAAGTAAAGAAGAACGTGTGTATGGGAATTAATGTTAGATAGATAAGAGCGTAAGGAAAGGTTTAGCTAGAGATGCTTGTTCCCTAAGAGTTATGTCATGCTTCAAGTCCTCCGCCTAGATATAGAACCGTGCCACTCTATCATTGCGTTCTAAATTAAAAGTATTGGCGAGCTATGGCAAAGAGCATTGTGTAGATGTTGAAGAAGCAGGAAGTAGCTGGCTCAGGTGCCCTATTGGTCTTTCTATAAAGTAGATTATATTAGACTCAAAGCTCTACTCGCCGCTCTTCAGTCTTTTAGATACTTGGATGTAGGTGCAAGTCTTGAAAGAGAGTAGCTGTGAGTGCACGGAGAGCGAGTGGAGGTGGACGCTGACGAATTGGTTGCCACAAGACATGCTTTTTGCCCACAAGCAAAGCCATTACCACCTGCAGGGTGTTCATGGGAAACGGGGCGTTTGTTGGTGAGGAAGCAGTCGTTCACCGGTTGTAGGGTTGTGGGCTAAGTCGACCCTATCCCGTTGGTTTCTGCCTGTGGCTGTGCACACTTGCGTTGGCGTCTGGCGTCCCATGTCCACCGGTTTCAACTCAGCTGCGCCTCCAACATATCGCTCTTGGCTCAGCCTCGAAATGCTGCCTGATATGAAAGCTCAAGAAGGCACTGATTCCTGCGAAACAATACTGCTCTTTCTGCGGGCTCAAGGCTCGACTCTGCTTCGCCCATGGCGGACCCTCTATCCTTGCTGGCGAGCATCGCTGGTGTTGCTACTGCGGGTGTAACTATTTCCATATCCCTGTATGAGATCGCACATCAGGTCAAACGCGCGCCGAAAGAAGTCGCAGAAATAGCAAAAGAGCTTTCCATGTTGTCGTCGATCCTGCGGAATCTGAAAACGGTCATGAAGGATACCAAGGACATCTGCAAGCCGCGATTGATTACTGATACGAAAGAGCTCTTGGAACGTATACGCACGATATATAAGGAAATTTGCGAAATCACTCGCGACAGCGGCAGCAGCTTGTACCGCATGAAACTTTTGTTTCGAGGTTCGAGGACCAAGAGTATCCTTGCGCAGATCGAGGGTTACAAGAGCACTGTGAATATCATTCTCGGGACTCTGCAACTAGCAACGCTGCAGACACATGCGAAGAAGTAATTCTCTCTATTGGGCGACTCGCAATTGGCTAACTTCACTATAGCGCCAAAACAGGCACGGATCCTGAAGTTGCACAGCTAAAGCGACTTCTACAAACACTGCTGCTCACAGGAAGTGAGAGCATTGCGAAGATTATCGATAGCAATAAGATCGATCCGGTTCTCATCTACAACGAAGACAACTACGATTACGGCTCTAGTCGGCGGCACGGCTCTAGTCGGCGGCAAGGCCCTCAAGACCGAAGCCCTGAGAGAGGAAGGAGTCCGATTTATAATCCAAGGGTCAACTCGCGAGTCCACTTCGACTACCCACGCCGAAGCGGACTCAGTAGAGAGAACACCCCATTGCATGAAAGGCGCAAAATTTATCCGGGTGCGAAGAAAGACGCCCGACGTCGAACCGCTCTAACTCGAACCCCGTCTCCATCCCGTTCCCCAGTCAGCAGACCTAGGCCACACACCCGCACGAGCATCAACAAAGAAACAGGAATAAAGGAGCAAAGAAGAGTGCATCCAGGGTCGGGAAGATTCTCCAGCTACTACGAGTCCGAAGAGGAAGATGACCCGAAGAAGACAACCGCGTCAAGTGGAGATGAATATTTGGAGTTCGACGAGGAGGACGTCTACAGCAACGACTCTAGCGATACCGACACTGATGAAGAGAAGGAGGAGCCTAGCACATCAACAGCATTGATTCTGAGGACCAAGTCTCCACCGAAAAAATCCAATGAGACCGAGTCGAAACCCACCAGTGAACCATCAAAGAGAAGACCACAAATTAACGTTGAAAGGAGATCAAGGCCATCGTCTTCCGTGGGCTCCCTACCCCTGCCACTACCTGCCCGGCTGTATGGGATGTCCAGAAATGATCGTCCCTCTCGACCCCTACCTCCTCACGGGGTGTCTAGAGATGATCAACCGTCGCTGGCATCCGGTAGAGAACATTCACGGCTCTCGCTGCCTCCACGTTCATCAATGGCTTCAGATTGGAATAGACGGAGGGCCGTATGGGATCGTACTCCTGACGATACGGCAACTTGGTTATATCGACTTGTCTTCATGGAACAAGCACCTCCGATGCCAGGGGCAGTACCAAAGCCATTGTCTAAGGAAGAAGTTCCCGCCGTGGTCACCAAGCTGATGATTGAGTGGACATCAGCCGATCCTACGGGTGAAAGCATGTCAACACCTCTCGACGAGGGATGCCAGTCGCAGGAAGGGATCAATGACAAAGAGTGGGACCATGATGTCGAGAATGTCATACGAAACCTAAAGGACGTAGATTGGGACCCCCATGACTCGTTCCTCGACGACGATAACCCGGTATACAAGACTTGGGGAAGTCGACTTGATGATAATTATACGAGTCACAGAGTACGGGAAAACCCACATCATCATTCTAGCTCCATGCCTTCATACACTGGTTCACACCAGCCCCCGCCGTACAATCCATTTGCGCCTCCACCTATGGGCAATCCGTATGATGCTGTTGCTCCTTCTAGCATCGTCGACTCGATGAACACGACTATTGCCCAGCTCAGGGGAGTCATTAATACAATGCTGGAAAGAATTAAAGAACTAGAAGACGCTGGTGGGCTGAAGGGACCAGAAGCAGGTTTAGTGCAGAAGGGGTGTGAAGTGGAGAGAGATGCGATCAATGACAAATGGGCCAAAGAAAAGTCTGCCGCACTAGAAGAGATGAAATTTAATCATATTGTCGAGATTAAAGAACTGGAGGTCGAGATTAAAACCCTGAAAATGGTTCATTCCGAAACCCAAGCAGAGCTAAGGAAAGAAAATGAGAAAATGAAGAGTTTGCATTCAGAAGCACTACAGCGTGCAAAACAGCAACATGCTGAGGAGCGGATGAAGCAAGAGAAGGAGGAGGAGGAGGAAATCGCGAAACGAAAAGCGCTGGAGCGGATTGAGCTTGTTGAAAACCGTCGCATGATTTGTTTCCCGGTCTCCCATAAGGGCGAACTTGTCGATTCCAGTTTAGAGAAGGCGGGCTTCATGTTGACTTACACAAATCCATTCACACGCAAGACTGCCATACATGGTACAATATGTTGGACAAGATCTTTCCTCCCCTCCGCGAGCGAAATGTTCGAAGTGCTTAGAATTAGTGGATGGAAGCCGCTCTGGATGCGAGGATCAAGTAAGCCCTGACTTTAACTCACCCGGGTATTCACCAGCTAACAGCAGCAGAACAAGGAGAAACATGGTTTCTTGGTGAAAGGGCAATCCTAGTGAACTTCCTAGGGAAGGAATATACTCCGCAAGTCGCGCCATCAAACAAGTTCCCCGAGCCGACTCACAGTGAATCCACCACTCGGACTCTCTCCGAGGACGAGTACACCGCCGTAGGAATCGGCCTCGTCGACCGTGACGCCATTGAACAAGTCGACCTACCGTACATAGGACAGTATGGCTCGCAGTACCGTTTCGATGTCAGCGTGACATGCACAGATATCGAAAACCTTGTGGCTACTTCATTTCTCCTCCGTGAGCGCCGTCTCCGCAAAGCTTCCCGAGGAAGTACTCGTCCTCGTTCAACTACAAATGGAAATGGTTCTGCTTCACCCAGACCCTCTATCTCAACAGATGCAGAAGGGAGCAACGGAGTGCACAAGCAGCGACAAGTGGACTCTGAAGACGACAAATATCTCAGGCCGAGAAGTACCTCGAATGTCGAAAGTCGGAACTCGCAAGATGAGCGCGAGGCTGGGACTGACGGGAAGAAGAAGCATAGGAAGAAGCGATACATTTGAGATACTTGGGGCTTTGATATCTAGGTCCAATAAAGGCAGCACCCGATTATCCACTCCAATACGTTAATGTTGCCTGTTTGTAGGGTACCTGAAGCTTCTCCTTCTCCCTCTCAACATCGCCACTTGGATTTACTTGCAGCATTCCTCGTTTTGATTTTGGCACCTCGGCTTAGTCTTGTATATTCAAACCTTTTTAATTTCCTAGCACTTTGTCAGTATGTTATGCTATAAGTTTCAAGACCGGCAGCATTGAAGGCAACGTACACTATGCAAGTTGACTCTTTTGCAGACATGGGCACAGTCTCCACCAAGGAGGACTGCCCCAAGATTCGCACTTCAGCGATCCTGCTATTGGTGGCTACGGCGGACTGTTAGCTGGTGAAGGGAAAAAACTAATTGCCAATCGCTTAGAAGCATTTTAGGTATAAAACACTATAGTATTTTACTAGGCAAAACATACTATAACGCATTTATATAATGTTTTTTAAAGATCTAAGAAGTAAAGGGTTGTTTTACATAACTATATTATAACTGCTTTTTATAGCAACTGCCTTTACTACAGCGTTGTACAATAATTGTAGATACTTACTGCCACCACTACTCTTCTACATCTACTACTACTACAGCAGTAGCAGCAACAACAACAGTAATAACAGTAATAATAGCAGTAACAGCAACAGCAGTAGCAGCAGCAGCAGCAATAATAATAACAATAACAATAATAATAATAATATAAGCATTAAGCCTATAGTATTTTAATTACTTTTATTATATAAAGCTAATACTTAAAATAAGGCTTTTATTTTTTATAATGCTGCTGTTACTACTGCTAACTAAGCTAGCACTAATGTTAATCTTATTCTACGTGTAGGACAGCAGTAGCTAGCTCTACTAGCTTATAGTCTACAGGCCTATGCATTACTAGCCCTTTTAAGGCAGGATGTAGAGTTTATATATAGCAGTATATTCTCTTATTAAATAGCTTTATATAGGCCTTTATATATTAACACTATCCTTATATAATCTTGTAGAAGGGCAGTGGACAACCTATGCAGCACATGCTATAGCGCTGTCTTAGGCCCACAACTGTTCCTAGAGTGCTGCTGCGCTAAGAGGCACTTTAGTAAAGCATATAGCAATTATAAATAGCATAACTATGCTAGTTACTACTTTATAAAAAAAAAAGTAATAATAAGCTAGCTAGTAAACCTTTATGTTTAAGCTATAACTTAAAAATTAGTAGTGCTAGTAATAGTTTATAGTAGTAGCTTATTTTTATTAAAGATAAACTTACTAGAGCTTTGTAAGGCCAGGATGGCGCTTACGTGTAAGGCCGAGATGGTGCTTACGTGCGACGGGTATATATACTATTCTGCACCCGAAAATCAACGTTGGTTGATTATTCGTACCTTTTGGTTGTATTGGCGGAGTGGTGCGGAGCCCCGTCCTTACAAGCTTTAGCTAATAATATAATAGTTTTAGCTTAAAGTATATATAATATTTTTTTTAAAAGTAGTAAAGCGCTTTAGCTATAAAAGTTGTCTATAGCACCTAGCTATATAAAGATGTCTATAGCACTTAGTTAAAGCCTATACCTCTGTGCAGTAACTAAGATAAGTAGCTGTTAAAAAGTAAAACTAAACTAAGCTAGTAAATAAAAAAAATAAATTAAATTATTATATAAAATATACTACTTTTTAATACTATAAAGCTAATAAGGTACTTAAGAATTAACATTAAATAGCTAAAACAGTGCTTACTTATAATTATATAAAAGTATTTCTTTATTTTTTTTATTTTTAATAAAGCTTAATTTTTACTTAACTTTTTTTTTTTACTAGCTTCTTCTTTTTCTTAACTTTAGTCTACTTAGTAGAGAGTTTATATAAAAAGATTTTATTCTAAGCTACTATAGTTACTTTATATACTAGGTATAAAGTTATGCTTTAGTTACCTTTTTTAAAGTATTTACTTTTTAGTAAGTTTTTAATTATATAATAATTCTTAGCACTTTTTAAAAGATATGTAATATAATTTTTACTAATATCTATAATAAAATATAGTTTAAAATAGCCTTTAGTAATTAAAAAATTAAATTATATAAGCTTTTTAAAAAGGCTATTTTTAATAAACTTAGTATAGCTTATAAGAGGCACGTTCTAAAGCTGTATCTAGGTCTAATCTACTATATATTAGATATTAGCTAATATATAAGAGGGTATTATATGTAGCTGTTTAATACTATTAATTTACTTACACTTATTAATTACTTTATATTATATAAAGTAAAGAATTATAAGAATAAAAAGCTTAGCTGTTATATAGCCTTAAATAAAAAGTAAAAATATACACTAAATTAACTACTAACATGCTAATTCTGCTAGTGTATATAAAGTAGCTTATATAAAAAAGATAAACTTTTTTTTTTACACTTTTAAGTATATTTTTTAAATAAATTATCTCTTTCTTATCTTATATAATTTATATAGGTGTAAGAGGTTAAATTTAAATGCTATAGTTTAAATAAAACTAATATTTAGTAAACTACTTACTATAAGACTATTTTATAGTAGGATAAAACTTATCTTAGGCACTTATAGTAATAATAAATTATATGTTATATAAAAAAAAAACTATAAAAAAAACTATAAAAAAAACTATAAAAAATTTAAATATACTATAAAAAAAATAAAAGCTTAGTTACTACATTTATGTAAATCTACTATGCTAGATTAAGATTAATAAGCATTTTTTTACTAAAGTTAGTTTTAAAATTAACATTTTAAACTATGCCTTAATTACTTTAGTTAAATTAAATACTTTTATATTAAGTATATTATATAAAACTTTACTTACTAATTTTACACTTTAATAAGTAACTTAAGTAAAGATAGTATAAGCTAAAGACTATTTTAAATATAGTATTATGCTTTTACTTAAAGCTAAAGATAAACATCTAAATATAGTATTATATAATTCTAAAAGTTAGAGTAAGCTATAGCTACACTATTAAATCTAAGTAAATCTAGTACTTTATTACACTACTAAAGTATAATTTATAAAAAGTAGGCATTTATATTCTAACTATTAACTTTTCTTTTAATTATATAAAGCTAATTAGTATTAAATAAAAAAGCCTAGTT